TATTTTTTTTAGAAAAGTCTAAATAATTCAAAAACGGTTAAATGTAGGTATAGGGAAGTCTCATAAAAACTCTCTCAAAATCGCTTCAGTAATCCAAAAAGGCAATAAAAAATATAACTTTCTATTTAAAATTACGAAGTTGATACCCATTTCCGGTGTAACCGGAAGTGCTGCCATCCTCCAATATTTTCATTGAGCGGGATCTAAACAATTATGACTATATTCAAAATTTTAGATAAATATCACTGTTAGAATTTTTTCTTTACTAAATCGAGGAGAATTTAGTTCTTCGATCTGTATTAACATTCCCTATACCATGTTTGATAGTTTTCAAGTTATAGTAACTTTTTTTGATATTGTGAGAAATATTAGCTACTTTAGAAATACGTTTTCATAGAAATAAGGAAAAAAAATAGAATATCAAAATTATTCAATTTTAGATTAAATAAATTTAATTTGAATTTACGAAAAAAAATAACACAATTGTGAAAAAAAAACTTGGCGTTTTTTCAGTAAGAAATATTTCAATGGCAGACTATGCGAAAACTACCACAGATAGTAAAAAAATAACCTGGAAATTATTAAATTTAGGTATAGAGAATGTTGATACAGATTGATACAAAATTAAATTCTCTTTAATTTAGTGAAGAAAAATTAAGGGCCTTCCATTTGAAAAAAATTCAGTTACGGTTATTTGAAGTTTCCCAAACGTAACTTGAAATATTGAAGGTTTGTTAATTAAGAAAAAAAGATGTAATCTTTCTTTTTCATATACCCAGATACGATTTCATAATAATTGAAAATGATGGAGTTATAGATTTTTGGAGAGGAGGATGCAAATTATTTTTTTTAGAAAAGTCTAAATAATTCAAAAACGGTTAAATTTAGGTATAGGGAAGTCTCATAAAAACTCTTTCAAAATCACTTGAGTAATCCAAAAAGGCAATAAAAAATATAACTTTCTATTTAAAATAACGAATTTGATACCCATTTCCGGTATAACCGGAAGTGCTGCCATCTTGAAAATATTCTCATTGAGCGGAATCTAAACGATTATGGTGGTATTCAAAATTTTAGATAAATATCACTGCTAGAACTCCCAATACTTCTAATGTGGGGTTTAGGCGAAACACCCTGTATACTTTTTTCTCAGACTGAATTAGCGAGAGAAAAAAAATTTAGCAACTTTGGCTAATTAACAAGTCGTGCTTAAAACTCAACAAACTTGTTTAGACTTATTGTTGAAATAATTAAAATTTACAAGCCACCGACTTTTTTCGAAATCATCGAAACTTTTAGAAACAGAACGGCGGCGCGAATTAAAACTTTTCCCTTCTTTGCTGAATTAATAACTGCTCTTAAATGAACAATACGAAAATACTACGTCGCGCTTATTACTCAACGCTAGTAAATCCTTGAGCAATTAATTTAATGAAAACATGGCAAAGCTTCAGATATTTTAATAAAGACGTACGAAGAAGGAGGAGGAGGAGGAGGAGGTGGAGGTGGAGGAAGAGGTTTTTGTCTCTTTTACTTTACCTCCAATGCTCGAGTTGTAGGCAACGCCTATTCCGCAAAATTGGTTGTAAGCAACAGCAGCCACTTCGCCCGCACAACGGGTACCGTGCTTATTATCTCCATTATCTTGCGGCATGGGATCGTCGTCGTTGCCGTTAATGTCAGTGCTGGCCAGAGGGTCCTAAAACACAAAAACTCAAACGACAAAAAAAAAAACACGAAAATATCACACCAACAACCCCCAAATTGACATTTCTGACCACTAAGCTTCAATGAAAAAATCAGTTTTCAAACTTGAAAAATACAGTGCAACCTCGATGATCCGCACTATATGTGTTAGGAGTATCGAATTCCATTTTTAATTTATTCTAATATAGAAATATTATCGCAAAAACAAGAGAAAAATTTACAAAAACCCCAATTTTATTCAAAATGTAGCCTTCTCTTTCAACATTTCTAGTGATTATAAATCCCTATTAAAAAAAAAAAAATGAAAATAAATACTTTCTACTTCTGGATAAGTTGCTAATTTCAAATTTTTCCTTTGATTCTGATTTAAAAAATACACTGCAACTTCGATAATTCGCAATATTTTCATGTAAAAATTTTTCGGATTATGTATTCCTTATTTCAATTTGTGAAAAAATACAAATATTCTCAAAAAACTCATAAAAATTCCGGTTTTTAAATAATCATCAATTTTTTTCAAAATTTCTTCCAGTGATTTTTATATTGAAAAGCATAA